TAAATATACACACATATAAAATATTACAATAATCTTTAAAATGAAATAAAATGTTCCCTTTACATCAAAGGAATTCTGCTGTTAAATGATTTCATTTCTTTTCAGATTGTTTACAACAGAATTGTAATTCAAATCTGATTTTCATTAGCTTTGCAGGTGCATAGCACAGTATCGGTTTTGTATGTGTGTATATTTAACTCTAAATATACACACATATAAAATATTACAATAATCTTTAAAATGAAATAAAATGTTCCCTTTACATCAAAGGAATTCTGCTGTTAAATGATTTCATTTCTTTTCAGATTGTTTACAACAGAATTGTAATTCAAATCTGATTTTCATTAGCTTTGCAGGTGCATAGCACAGTATCGGTTTTGTATGTGTGTATATTTAACTCTTAACAGTGAGATTAATATGCTCAATGTTTAAGTAATGCTGAATTATTTCCTGCATTTTATGCCAAACACTCACAATTTTTTACCAATATAGCAGCAGAAACGCAAGAGATAGAACAGCATACATGAGTGGGTAACCTTTAATTTTTTTTAATTACACAAAATAGGAAAATACAAAAATGGTTAAGCGAATAATGAATTTTGTACATTAATGTATTTTTCTGCTGGATTTTTATCTATATAAATGTTTGTCATGACATTGCAAGTTGGAAAACCAAACATTTTGAATGGTCACATTTAATAATCCATGCAAGAAGCATATCGTAATAAACAATAGTAATAAATAGAGATTACTAGAATCACGAAAAACATACTGAAATAAATTAAATATCTTAAAATTATAATAGGCCTGATCCTGATGTCTATGTGTTTATGTAGCTCAGTGAAGATTACTCTGAGGATTGTAGTATAATGAGCCTCAGGAGTTTTCTTAGTGGGAAAATTCCAAAAGGAATTTTTGTTAATTTAGAATACAAGAGCATAGTGAGCTTTTTCAGTCTTATAAAGCCATATTCTTACCTAACTCCTCTGATTTAAAGAAGGTTATGTTAGCTTATTTAATTTACAATTTCAGCATCTAAGGAAAGAGATAAAAAATTCTTACTGTCATCAAACACAAAGATGCCTTAAAAAGAGAAATATGGCTTTACCATAATAGAAACCAAGCAGATAGGTTTATTTATGATAGTTGGATGCACACTTTGCTATAGTGATCAAACTGAGTTTTCCTCCAATGGAAAAATTCCCCAAAGGAATGATTTAAAATGTTAAATTCTTGGCAGGCTGCACAGTAGGCAAAGGGCTGGTTGTGTCAAGAGCCCAACACAAGAGAACTCCCATGCCTGTGCAGAGCCACAAAAGTCAGTGGGGCTTTGCCCAGAGGCCTGGGTCCAAGCACATGCCGTTCATTAGAAGATCAGGACCTGGCTGGTATTTTGTACAGTGCTCATCTTTTTTGATGAGAGGCAACATAGTCAATTCAGGGTTGATTCCTTTTAAGCATATGTCTGGCTTTCAAAAAACCTTGATCCTATACAAAAGCAAAGGCAATTTAACAGCAGTAAATGGGCTCTCTCTCAAATATTTTGTACCAAACTGCTGTTGAATATCTGTGATGTGCTTCTAGAATGATCTCTCAAGTTTTTTATATACTATTCAGAGGCGCTGATGATGATATTTTGGGGGTATAGATTGATGCTTCAAAGGTTTTAGGACCTGATCCAAAACCCACTACAGTCAATGGAAAACTCCTGAGCTTTAACTCAAGCTTTTAGGGTATGTCTACACTACAGTGTTATTTCGAAATAGCTTATTTCAAAATAACGCATCTACACACAAAAAGCATTTTGAAATGCATTTTGCTATTTCGAAATAGTGCGTCCACACTGAGTGGACTCTGAATTGCATTTAAGGCTGACTGGAACCAGTTCTGGCAGGGCATCAGGTCAGGACTTACTGTGTGGGGCTGCTGCCTGAGGCTATCTGAGGTCTGTGCTTAAAGGGACACCATTCCTTCTCCCCCCC